TATATATAGCGGCCGCTTACAGGGGCGATACTCTCTCAGTATATCTGTGCAATGTGTGTGCAGTGATGTGTGTGTGTTATTGCTTCAACGACCTTTTTAAGTGCTAACTTTATCGACATCTCGAGGAAGTATAAAGATTCCAGTAAAGATCGATTTTACGTCAGTATCATACGTCAGCTACCTCAAGTGTTGTCAAGTATAGAACACAAACTACAACTATTGCTAATAGCTGCGGGTGAACGGAGCATGCGCGATCGACACCGAGATTGCCCTGACTCGACATAATGACGTCATTCGGCTGACCATTCTTGGGATTGGTGATGATCGCAGTGATTCCTGGCACAAACAGGCTGACCCATGACCACTGACTAATGGGATGATCGAGCTGATCACTCTTACGAACATCCACGGATTGCAATGTCACTGAGTTCAGTGCAATCAGGCTGACTCAATGATAGGATTGTCCGTCTACTCTTGCTGCAGGAATGGCCATTCATTGACCTGTCCGGGCAGCGAAATTTTTTTCCCCACTTGAGTTCGGGACCACAGCTAATCAGCGCACTCCATTCACTCGACTTCCTCGAAGCAACAATGTAAAATGAATATTTCACGGATAACGATTGTTTTATCGACCCTCTCATCACCACGCACGGCGGATAGGTCAATTCGAGTTTGACACATCACTGGTGTAACAACAGCGTGACTTGTGATACGGGCGAGGTGACCACTGATACGGTCGAGGTGACCTCTGATACGACTCGAGGTGACCACTGATACGGTCGAGGTCACCACTGATACGGTCGAGGTGACCACCGATAAAGACGAAGTGACCACTGATACGGCCGAGGTGACCACTGATACGGACGACGTCACCATTGATACGGTCGAGGTGACAACTGATACGGTCGAGGTGACCACTGATACGGTCGAGGTGACCACTGATACGGTCGAGGTGACAACTGATACGGTCGAGGTGACCACTGATATACGGACGAGGTGACCACTGATAAGGACGAGGTGACCACTGATACGGACGAGGTGACCACTATAATGTGATCGAGATTGACTGTAAAGCTGAACAATCTTGCACCGTCATGTTTTAAATGACGAGGCAAGGCAGACATGAGAACAAATGTGATTAGAAACGTGCGCGGGTTTCTTCCTGTACGGCAAAAAGCTTTGACATTATCCGTCAGACGACAGTTAGCAGCCAGCGCGCAATATTCATGCTTATAGATTCAACAACCACTGTGAGGCCATATATACCAAGATCGTACTCCATAATGATCGTCGCGGCATTTCTCTATAAGTTACCACCCACCATGGTCCCACGCAGGATTCATGGCTCCATCTCCAGCTATTCTGCGCGAGTAAATAGCCAGCAGTTAAGAGCAAGCAAAGGAAACCATCTATCTTTGAAAAAAGGAAAATCACATTGTGAAGGTGCGCATATCCGCGCTATAGCGTTTGCAGTTTGAAATTGCATAGCTCAATTAAAAGAATACTCTAATTCGTAATGATTCTTCTATTCGTTATTCGTAATAAATAGGGCGTTTGTAATAGTGGCAGGGGTATAACTAACTCATTTTGTTTGATGCTAAAGCCGCACGCGCAGTTTGTGTTATGGGAATTTGACCATGGACAATACATCATTAGAGATTGACCATGTACTAAGTATCCACATTTATATGTGGGAGGATGAATGTCCCCCTTGCCCCCTCCACTAGCTACGGCAATGTGGACTTTAAATATACGAGCATAGTATACAACTTCTTATTATATAGAAATTCAACTAATATGCAGTTCTCATACTATACTCTTTTTCCTATTAATCATGTGAAAATGAAATGTGGTGTAAGCCGTTCGGAAGAATTGGCTGTACTTAGTAGACAATCAAGCCTCCATCAATTACTCAAGGTTTATGAATAGATTTGTTTGATGCGTAAGAATCGTTGCTCCTTCTGATTGAGTGACGCGCTCGCACAAACCTGGTTATGGTCTTGCTTAAAGCCGGAATGAGTATACCGATTCCATAACCTGATACAGAAATTTTGCTTCAGAGTTTGCTCTGATTACGTCGCTAATTGTCTGAGTAAACATTATAGTTGCTTGCGGATTGGCTATATGATTGCGCTACCATGCTATATTTGGTGTAAGAGATTAGAATTGTCTAGAATAAATTTTGACGGAGTCTTTACAATCAATGCCAAAGATTTACGAGCAGGGATTTCCGGAAATATTGGCCATCACCGAGATATGGACGTCGAAAGCGAAAGAATTTATATAAAGAGTCGGAAGTCATGAATGCATTCAAGAGTGGTCTCGTACCAGCTACATTACCGGGACAGAATCGCACTTTTATGTTTGATATATTAGTTATCCGCATTTTCGTCCCTCCGCTAATGTACCAACAGATTACGAACGACAACAAGAAAGCGGCATTGAAGACGCCGCGCATCGTAGCATTCCCCGTGGGATCATGCGATGCTGTTTACCTTCACGTCGGTTGGCCCCATTTTCCTCCGGCATACACGAAATTAAGCACACGGTAATGCGTTCTTCCGTGCAGTAGTCACCGATGTGATGACCGACACGAATTGCTATGCATGCTGTAACGTTTACTGTGCTATATTTCCGGATTTAACCACTAACACAGATTTGTCTTTCAGTTGAGTTTGAGAGAGAGGGGGCGAGAAACGGGAATGGAGGAGCTAGGGCGCGCGCGAAATGAAACATGCAGTTTATTAACAGAGTTTAGATGATAAAACGAATGATTGAATTGGATTTAGAACGATAATCGATGTCTAGCACAAAGAGGGATGTTAATGTGTGGGAATAGGCAATAAGGTGGGTGTGCCTGCATTGTATTGTGGATTCAAGCCAAGTAATCACTGAATTGACAATTTAACGATTGAAAACGAAAATAGGGGATGAAAATAATGATTGAAAGAAAGTTGTATAGCGCGGAAAATTTTCAAGGTCTCTCCTCTTCACTAATTTTCCTTGCGATCATGCGCGCACATAAGCGTTAATCACATAAGCGTTCGCGTCCGCGTCGTTCATATATGCAGAACGCTGAATTTTTTGTAAACATCAATCTAGAAGAAACATACGTTTTCTTAGAATTTCCGGCTTTATCGCTTACTCAATTAAAAGCGAAGCTGAGAAGTGGAACACTATCGAGTAATATTTAATAGACAACTCTAAAGACACATATGCCAATACTAATATCCATTACAGTAATAAGCAGGCAGGTGAAAAGATGTATAAAGGAGTTCTATCACAAAATTAATTCCGCGTTTTTTGATATTGTACAGATCCGCATATATATGAGAAGATCTTTTCAATCAGCGATTGCTACATATTGTCATACTTTCTTAGAGTTGTCTCCTGAATTACAGTAACATGCGGAAATAGGTTCATACTTTTTTGTGCTCAGCTGTATAACGAACGCTTTACATAACTCTGTTTAATATTTCGTTGACACGTTCCGTTCCTACTAATTTACCGATGCAGAATAATCGGCTGGATGCTCTGAGAGCCAGGACATTACTGCAGCGGCTTCCCGGTAAGAAACTCTCCTTCAAGAACGTGTCGAAATGTGTCATCACACTTCTGCATCAAGTGAACTTTAACGCTGAGATACCCTTCTCACACGTACTCACGTCCATGGACACAGAGAAACCAGGCGCCAAGAAGGTTCGAAAGGTATTTAATTTATGTATAACACCCTTATTATACATCAACTAGGGTCAACTATCTGTCTGCCCGTGTGCCTGTCTGTCTGTCCGTCCGTCTGCTTGCCTGCCTGCCTGCCTGCCTGCCTGCCTGTCTGTCTGTCTGTCTGTCTGTCTGTCTGTCTGTCTGTCTGTCTGTCTGTCTGTGTGTCTGTGTGTTTGGCTGCCTGCCTGCCTGCCTGCCCGCCTGCCTGCCTGCCTGTCTGTCTATCTGTCTGGCTGGCTGACTTGCTGACTGGCTGACTGGCTGGCGGACTATCTGGCTGGCTGACTGGCTGACTGGCTGTGTGTCTGTCTGGCCGTCCGTCCGTCCATCTGTATGTTCGCCTGTCCGTTTGCCCTTCTGTTTGTTTGTGCGTCTGAGTGGATGTCTAGCTGCCCGTGTGTCTACCTGCCTGGTTGGCCACCTGCACCTCCCCGCGTTCAAAGACACTCGTTAGAGTTAGAGTTAGAGTTAGCTGCTTTCAAAAGCCGTAACTTATCAAAATCGCCTTAGCTTTTAGTCCTTCTAAATCCTAAAATAGTTTTATTAAAAAATTTGAGTGAATTGCCGAGAGCGCAATTACTTGGAAATTGGAAGTGTCAGCGTGGGACGACACATTTGCTCGCCAGTACAGTAGTGATCCTGACACTAATTGATAATTTTCGTTTTAAAAAGTGTCACGATTTTGAGGCCTGACATTATTTCAATTATATCATATAATAGTGTGATTACTCGCTCCACCCGTTTCGTGAGTTCTGCTCTCGACACTATGATGATAAAAAAATATGCAAAATATCTTTAAAAACAACTAAAAATATTATTTCGCATTAACATATAAACGGAAAAAGCAGTATCACGAAAAAATTAGCCGCTGTACAGTAAATGTTATTTGTGCTGTCATCCGATTACCACGAATCCTGCTTCTGTCTGCTACCTAATGTCCTGTGAGAGCTGACTCGCTGGCATGCCGATACTATTACAGCGCACAATTGTGTCACCGCTAACACAGTGTTTTATCGATAAAACTATCTGTCTCTCTTGTCGTTACAGACTTTTATTTCTTATGTCGTTTAAAACTAACGCGTGTATCTTGTGTCTCGCAGACAAAGGTCACGGATCGGTTTAGGAAGCCATTTAGGAAGCGGCATGCCACCCTCATGCATCAACCAACGAACCGCGTCAATAGGTACCTTGCCAACGCGATAACAGCACGCAGCATAGACCGAGAGAAGTCGCAACACGTCAACTTCTTCACATTGCGCTTTAAACAGTCGCAAAAAGAGAAAATGGTAATGTCAATAAATAAATAAATATAATATTAAATTAAATAATATTATATATATTATATAATAAATACACACCACCACACACACACCTACACACACACACACACACACACACACAACTACAGCACACACACACCACACACACACACAACACATCGCGCACACACACACACACACACACACACCACACACACACACACACACACACACACCAACACACGACACACCACACACAACACTCACGTCGCATTTTTGCGCGCCACGCATGACGCTACGATGCAGGGGCGGACCGCGACAGCATTGTGCCATTGGTAAAGCCGACTCTAAAAGACTTTACGTTGCTTCGCTAGCCAGCATCTTTCGCCACAATTCTTCCACCTATGCCTAATATATCGTAGGAATGATGCTCGGCGTCGCTTGTCCGCACGTTGACAGCCAACATAATTTTCAGATTTATTTAGAGAATATCATGAGGTTTTTTGACGCTATATGGAGTACAAACATCCCCTGCGGCTGCCCGCCAGGCCGCCCCGGACGCTATATGGAGCGAGTACAACATGTACAGTAAACATTAGCGTTACAGTCGGCCTGGGGCACTGCCGCGCTGTATAGTGCAACGAGAGCAGTTTTACTATAGAGTAACGGAGTGTCCAGTGTTACAGTGAACGATAACTATAGATACGTCCCACATTTACTTCCTTTATTAAGCTGAACTCAATAGGTCTGTCCTTATGTAACGATGGTAATTTTCAATTAATGGTCAGTATCTTACAACGTTATTATATATATATACCAGAAAACATTCCACTAGCACATTTGGGGTGATTATTGCGCGCGTGAAGTATGAATAGCAGTTGGAACAACACGTGAATCCAATAGAAAATATCTTCAAAAATGCATTTCTAGTTATCATAATATTGGATTTGCGTAGTACACACGTTAGATTACAAACGATATTATATAGGCAATTACCGCTAACAGGTGGTTTGTGGATAGCTTTCTTTGCCGTATAAACGTGATGAATTAAGTTATGCATTGCGTGAGCCGGGCTTCCGTCTGTCTCTTGCTAGCATGGTTAGTCAATTTGGCATTCTTAGCCATTTTGGAAACTCACATTTCGTCTGGAAACACATTAACATTTCATGATATGATGCTCGCCAACTGCGTAG